CTTAGCTCTTCAATCTATCTATTGGTTACCTAGTAAACTAACATAAGGCTTCTACACTAGACTAATCAAGGGTATGTATGTTCCTAGGTATTCATCTACATTTACTGTCATAGGTTCACAGTTTGGAGCTACCTAGGGCATTGTTATAAAAAAATAGTGTTTGTCGCATTTAAGGTTTTAGGGTTTTGATAATTATTTGGTGATTTGTTTTCTTCTATGTTTATTAGTTAATATAAAAAATCAGGGGTTACTTTTTTTTTCATTCTAAGTTTGTTTCTGGTCAGATTGTCAATCATAATGTCTTGTTCTCATCCCTAAGTTTGTTTTCTCCTTAAATTTTTGTTTTTCTCCCTAAGTTTTTTATTGTGGTCGAGATAGTATATTGTAAACAAATAATATTAATATCTTAATTTAAAGTCTTCATTCTAAAGACTTCTTTTTATTCTCATTCAGAAAATAAAAATATATTTTTAGGCAAAAAGTTAGATTTTCTGAAAGTAATTTTATCATTCAAAAATCTCTGAGATATAAATTCATATTTTATCTTAATTATTTAAATTAAAATGACCCAAGACTTATATACTCAAGAAGTCTACGGATATGAAATCATATGTTTCTAAAAAGAAACATATTCATTCATGTAGTCACTTATTCTAGTGATATATAAATCTTCCCAAAGCTAAGCAAGTAAAAGAGAGTCTGTCAAGCTTCGATATATATATATATATATATTAAATAGAAAGGAAACATATAGGTTGTATGAGTGGGCCCAGAAAGGTACCCTGTCCACACGGTGCAACACAAAAAAAAAAAGTAAAGATACACGTAATACCAAAAAAAAAAAAACAAAACCACCAAACGAGCAAAAATTTAGGGACGACCGAGTTTAGACATGCATCTGCCTCTAGTTCTAGGAAGGGAGCCAGCTAACAAATTGGTGAGTTGTGTGCCATTGCCTGAAGTAACCAATATATCATCCATTAGATTCCTAAGCTCAAGTAGGTCACCATTATTCTTCTCCCTCATGGATGAGTAAACCTATCATTCCTCATCCGAAGATAGCCTCATTTGATCAATATGTTGGTCAACAGGTTGTTGAGCATGTGTAAGTTGATGAATCCCTTGTGCCTGACTAACAGTAATGACTTGCTCATTTAGATGAGGTGGCAGAATTGGTGTAGAAGGATTGCCAATCGTTGAAACCACATTAGGTTCTAGTGTATGTAAAGTATGAATAGTCGCCTCTGCACTGGATACTTCCCAAAGATGTGGAGCTGCAAGGCTCTCCCGATTATCGGTCTGAACATTTTCCTTTAAAGGTAATGATCCTTTAGTATTGTTTTCAATATTGTTTAAAGGGGTAGGTCGCTCCACAGAGCCATCTGACAACACATCAATCGCATAATCAAAAACAGTATTGTCTGGGGAGGTCCCCATGGGCAACTAAATCAGTCACCAACTTCTGTCTTCTGGTAATTTCCTCTATAGGTGTGAGGTCCCCATGGGCAACTAAATCAGTCACCAACTTCTGTTTTATGGTAATTTCCTCTACAGGTGTGTGTGTGTGTGTGTGTGTGTGTGTGTGTGTGTGTGTGTGTGTGTGTGTGTGTGTATATATCTATATATATATAAATCTCTAAAGCTCAAGGGTTTTAAAAATATTTTCTTTGAAAAAGAGATTACTAAAGCTCGAGGGTTTTAAAAATATTTTCTTTGAAAAAGAGATTAATTGAAAAGTAATTTTAATCTCTCAAAATTTAAAGATAATTAAAATCCCCCCAACCAGCCAAAGGTCGGTGATATTAATGCTAAGAATGATCAAATTCTCCCAAAGATCCAATCAAACAAGTTTAGAACAACCAACATAGGCCATAGTTACAAGAAAAGAGGATTTATCCCATCCAACATAAAAGTGAATAAATTGAGGATGACCAAACAATACACTAACATCAATAAAATCCCTTCAAAGAAACCAAATCTTATTGTTAGAATTAACATAGAATTTAAACTTTTCAAACTTCTTCAAGACTAACATTATTCTTAACAGCCACCAAGGGTTTGAGAATACAAAAGAACTTGATATTATAAGAACTGATAATACTTTTTAATCCATTAGAGTCTTTCACATCCGCAAAGCCTCTAATATTCCATATGAGAAACTAAAACATCCTTAACAAATTTTGATCCTCTATTGCTCCTAGGGGTCAAAGTATGATGTTTATCCAAATTTTCTAAATTTCCCTCAAGATGAAGAGGAGCAACTTCTGTATTACATAGTTGAGTTTCCTGATCCCTTCAATTTTCTTTCCTTGTCTTCTGAATCAATAGTCTTCCTCCAAATTAGCTCTAGAATGAGCTAGATTATTTTTAATGTTGATTTCATCATTAACAATAATGTTATCAATAAAACCAACATTAGGTGATTTATTAGCACCATCCTTTTTATCTTCCACATTTATACAGTTCAAAACATTAAGACAACCAGCATCCAGAGCATCTAGAGAGTCCCCTTTACTAGTAGTCTCAATATTCTTTAAAATCTCCAATTCAATAGCAAAAGCCAATTTTTTCTTGACCAACCCTTCTTGATGTTCTTGTTCAACAATAACATTATTGTTATCAACTCTAATAATCATTTTGTTTGAATCCTTGTTATCCTTATTATTGATAACAAGGTTTCTAACAACAATCTAATTATTAACATTAATATTTTTAGTCTTTCCAAGATCTTTAGATTTCCTCAATTCAGAATGAGCCACATAATAACAAGAGTGAGTATGACCAAACATTTTGTAGTTATTACACTAAGAAGGCACAAATTCCATTTCCACCAATTGCCAATAACCAGACGTAGAACTTCCAATCCAAATCGAATCAGTAAAAGGTAAGGTGACTTCCCTTTCAGCCATAACTCTAGTGACCAAAGGTCTAGTGCATGCAAAAGCAGAATGATCAATTTTAAGAGGAGTCCCAAAGATGCTACCTAAAAAATATAAAACTTTCCTGTTAAATAAATGAAGTTTTAAACTAGGAAACTGCAACCACACTTGAACAATTGGCGGCTCTTCTTTGGGATTAAATTCCACAACCCTATTTAAAATTTTCATACTAAACTTTTCAATTAATAAAACTATTCTTGAAAAAACGAAAGTATAATCAATTTATTTATCCAAACGGATCATAAGATGCCTCTCATCAATAAGCCAAATGTTCCAATTATCATGTAATTTCAAATCACTAAAGAATTTACGAATCAATTCCATTCTTGGATGAGCAAAAGTAAATTTACCCACCACGGTATTTTTAAAAGGCTCAATCAAGAGATTAATCTCATCTTCTTGAAAGAAAATACTTGGCTTACCATTTTTCCTTGCTGTCTTCTTCAACAAACCAGTAGACTAGCAGTCTACCAGATTATCTTTGAATTGAGATGGTAACAAGTAATTATTCACATTAATACATATAGTGATAGGATTACCGGCAAGAATTTCACGATAAGAGGGACAATTCAGTGAAGATTCCATCATTCCATCATAAGAACCGCCAAAGAACAAACAAAAACAAAAAAACCCACCACAAAACCCAAAATCATAGGATCTTGAAGCTAAAGAACCATCAGACCGAGAACCCGCATGAGAGATTCCATCCATAGGTGGTCTCATACCTTTAGGGAAGCCAACCTTTCTGTTCATCTCTGGGCAAAAGAGGATGCTGCTCTTAATAGTGTTTTTGTTGGTCCTGATATTGATCATGAGTTAAATTTGCTCATTCATGTTGACAATATGTGAAACTTTTTTTAGAGCTACTAGTTAGCTCCTGTATTTTGTAATCATTTGGTTGATCATCAAGTTCACACATAGTTGAACATGATCAATGTCGCTAAAATCTACAATGACTGAATGTATGTTTTCTTTTCTTTCTATTATTTTCATAACGCTTTCAAATATATTTTTCCTTGGCCTGCCTACCGGCCTCAATGTCTTTGGTATGCCATTATCAAATACATCGATATTGCATACACCTTTTAGCATAGTAAATTTAAAAAATTTTCAAAGTAAAACAAAATTCTTGTAAAATAATATGATTAAATATGCATGAAAAAAATTATTAGGCCTTTAATACAAATAGACCCAATAATGTCATATAATTCCTCACAAATATATATATATATATATATATATATCACACTTTCATTCTTAAACAATATTTATCAATTCCTGCATTCTGTTAGCATCAAAAGAAAAGCCGAAAGAGAAACTACATAGCTTTGTGTCAAACGAGATCCTACAAAAATCAAAACCACCCATCCTTGGAGGTGGAATTCTCTCGTCCTAGAAAAGCAATTTCTCCATCTCCATTCAATCATTTCCTGCACTTTAATCTCCTATTCTTCTAGTCCTCTTATTTTTTCCTCTGTTCCCAGAAGAAAAAGCAGCTGAAAAACATAAACGAAGAGAAGCCATTTCGTTTGCACAAACGTTTCTCCATTATGAAGAGGAGTAAGATCACGCGCAATGCGAAGCTTCAGCAAGTGCTTCGTAAAAGGAGAGAGCTTCTTTGTTCGGGCAGGATGTTTCTCCACGAGGGAGATGGTGCATCCCAACAGCAAGTGAGATATTTGATGGGGTTATAAATTATTAGATGTTAGAAAAGCAAATATTGTCTTTTAGATGTTAGATATGTAAAATAAAAATGTTTAGAAATGGTATGTAAATCCCCCTAATAAAATTTATAAAATTTTGAATGTCATATATGAAAAAAAATCTGTATTTGTAAATCCAAAAACATAGCAATTATCAACCACCCAAGAATAAAGCTCTTCTAATACAAGCTTTCTCTGCTGTCAATAAAGCAGAAAGAACACGCATTCTACTCTTCATCCATGGCTAGTATATCACTATAAGCCCATTCACCTGAAAAACTAATTTGTCTCAATCAAGATTTAATCAAGATAAAAATCGGTAACAAATCCACTAAGATGTGAACCTCCATAGCAATTT